GATAGATAGATAGATAGATAGATAGATAGATAGATAGATAGATAGATAGATAGATAGATAGATAGATAGATAGATAGATAGATAGATAGATAGATGGATGGATGGATGGATGGATGGATGGATGGATAGATGGATGGATGGATGGATGGATGGATGGATGGATGGATGGATGGATGGATGGATGGATGGATGGATAGATGGATGGATAGATAGATGGATAGATAGATGGATGGATAGATGGATGGATAGATGGATAGATGGATAGATGGATAGATGGATAGATGGATACTGACAGAGGATCATGCAGACAGAGGAAGGCGGGAGGGCAGACAGCCGGTCATCCCTGCTGGCAGATGAGGGCTGGACGTTAGCGCTGTGTGGCAGGGCAGCTCTGCCTCTGCTAGTGCAGAGTTTATAAGGTGGAAACGTTCGATCCACTGCAATGCTCAGGATGGTTGGGTGGTTCTGTGCACATCCAGTCCTCCGATTTAGCCAGGGAGTGACAGGGGCTCTGGTCTGGTGGGGAGCAAGGTTTTGCCAACAGCCTTCTCCTTAAGTGCAGTATACTGCTCAATCCTGGGGCTCAGCATATTGTCAGTACTGATGGGTGTGGAAAAGATGCATTTACTACTGTTGCTGCTACAGCCTACTGTGCTCACTATCTGCTGGGGCTCCACAGTGTCAGATGTGACATGGAACACAATAGAGGTGCACTTGTTGCAGAAGAGAGCTGCGACTGTCAATCTGATAGCTGTGCAGTGTCTTCTGCCCGGACCAGTGGGTGCACTATTAAGACTGAATACAGACTGCTCTATCTCAGCAGTCGGAATGCCAGTCGAGGGCAAGGACTGTACTTTGACTGGGTTATTTCCAGACAAAAAGCACATCACTTACTTTAGATGTCTGCATGTTCCTTTAACTTTTCAGTAGCACCATTAAATCCCTTTAAGCAGCAGAACTTCCTTCCCAATTTGCCATCTTGTTCTCCAGGTTTTGAAAAGCTCAGCTAAGTATTTTGATTTGCTTTCTTTTTTGTTGTCGTTGTTGACTGTTCCGTATTTCAGCTGCAAAAGTGTTCCTTATTTCAACTGAAAAACTTTCAAGCATCGGTACAGAGGCAGTCATATCTCCTGGTCTCACAGATATTGCAAACCTGATGACGTTTCTATTAGTAAAGAAACGCTGCATGTTCAAATAAAGGAGAAGGACTCCATCCCCCAAATTGTTTAAACTAGAGATTCTTGCACTGACACCAGCTTTTACAAAACACCTATGAATCGTTAGATTATGTGAGCATTATGTCTGACTGTTCCACAATATTAAAGAGCAGAATTCACCATCTAGGAAAGTTTTACAGACAGCTGTTTCACCCTTATTAGCAATCTTGCAAGAATCCACAGTACTTATCTAGCGTTCGGCAGTGTTAAGGATTATACAGCTATTCCAAAGAGCTGCAGTCCAGTTTCATCCAGGGCCTTGGATTCACAGTGGAAACTAGTGTTTTAAGTCGCCACGGTACCAATTAAAAAAGAACTGGGTTAAATCAGAGGTTGCCTGACCTGCTGGGTGAGGAGGAGGAGACGTCTGGATTGGGGAAAATCTTGCTGTTTTCACTTCTGCGTAGGTCACCTCATCTTCCCTCACTGGGAGAGAGAAGAGAAGTGAGGGTGAATACACACAGGGCCCGGCTGGACACTGCTGTATGTTAATACCATTCAGACAGGGAGAGAATTGAATACAGCCGCACTGCTAGACTGGACACTACATCTAATTATTACTACTCCAAAATGACAGATACTGACACGTTGACTGGACAGTCCAGTGGAGCCTTAAATTTGAAACAAGAAAGCAACCATTCTCAGTGAGACACTGCAGTATATGAAAACTGCATTGCAAAATTGAGAGACTCACCTCGTCCTGTGGGGCTAGAGTTTTTTGTGAACCTCACAGATGAGTAAGAAAGCTCCTCAAGCATTGGTAAACTCTGATCCACTGACCGACTGACCGAACAACTGATTGCTTGATGACCAGGCAATCTGACACTGAGCTGGCTCACAGAATGGCAGGAACAACTGTCAAGCTGGTATTCTTTGCAGATTCACATACAAAATATTACTTAAAACAGGAAGAAAGGGTGGAAGGAAGAGTCCTTACTCTATTTCACACTCAACTACTTCTCCTTTTTTGGTGTCAATGCTGTAACATGACCCATCCGTTGTCTACGTCAATAAATGCACACCAAGATACAATCACACTATACCACCAACTCTCTGGGCACTGATACACAGGCTAAGTCTATATAATAGGGGACTCCTAGAGAGTCCCAGTCCAATAGATTCGTATACGTCATTCCTAAATCACCAGATTCTTTGGACTTAATTTCAATTACCCTAATTTCCTAAACATAAATGAACAAATTGTCTTCTTTTTTATTCAAGAAAGCTTGTGCTTTTTAACCACAGAATTGCAGTTGCTCTATGTGGCAAAATGTCTGATCATTTTCCAAATATGGAAGTTAATTGCAGACATACCACCCATACCAGTAAACACTGGGGTGATTCGGTTATTACTATTTTATGCTGATTAGAAGCTTCTTCTCGTTTTGACTCCTGATTCCACTGTGGAATTTCCTTAGCGAGACCTGCACACCAGCAGCCCCTCGCTCAAACTATGTTTGTAATAGACACACATTGTGTTGTTAGATTTTGATGTAGACTCTTCTAAAAGAGTGGTTCAGGGAATCCATACTCACACAACACACACGAAACAGCTGCTTAAAGTCCACGAGAGCTCCAAGCCTCAAACAAAGTTTTAAAACTTGCCTCTTTTTTAACATAAGAACTCCCTCTCAACAACGTACTGTAAAAATCCAACCAACTACAATTGTGACTCTGAACACTAGGTTTAAACTAATTCTCAAATGCCTTCTCGGCTGTATTTTGGCAGCTAGTGGCTAGTTTGTATCATTACAGTCATTCCATTGGACAACCTGACACAATTAAATCTTTTCCTGTAATTTCATTTTTTACAACAGTAACCAGGTCTCCCAAAACCTCAAGTAAACCTTGTGAAAATATCTCCTGCTATGATCTTGCAGCTTTAACTTTACATACTTCTCTTTGCGTCACACATTTATTTTCAATTTCAGTTTCAGCATCAGAAAACGTGTCATATACAATGTTAAGTTTGCCTTTATTTCGATTGCAAAACAGCCTTCTGTTTTTACATTAGCTTTCTTTGATTTGAAATAGCACATTAATCACAAAATACCTGCATCAGGAAAGGCTACAGCACCTTCTACTGTACATCTAAATTAAACACATGTAGCATCTTTCATGCAACACAAAGACATAAGCCCTTCCTTGGAATAAAACCGGCTAAAATAAATAAGCAATGGAAGATAAAAACATACACAAAGCCAAAATTAAAAATGGCTAAGATGTTAAAGTGCAAGAGGTTTAAATTTAGTTCTACAAATGTCAAAGGTTTAACGATTCCTTATGCCCTTTGAAAAACCATTTAGCAATCAGGATACAGAGCAGTAGAATATTGCAAAAGGATTTCAACATCTAGAGACAGAGTGGTTAAACATGATTTTGGAAAACCTGGTGCTAAACCACCCATAGAATGCATTTAAATCTGAGAAAACATATTTACACAAAAAAAAATATATTTACACAAAGGGTGGTGGGAGTGTGGAACAAGCTCTCCAGCCATGTTTGTGGAAAATGAAACTGAACTACACGGTTTGATTTACTGAACAGATGCACTGAAATCCTTCGTAGTCTCCAATATTCTCATGCACTTAATGAGTCAGAAAGGAGAATTATATTTTTACCCTAGACTCCATGCAGAGCCAAAGCAGAATTGCTGAATTTGATGCAAAATGATAAGATGAATTTATATTAGTTTAAATTCAAGAAGCGGAATACTGCTCTTCGCAGTGCAGTCCAGCACACCCAGCTGTGGAGACTCTGTGCATTAACTTCACAGATCCTGTAAATATTGGTGCTGCAGTGGTGGTCATGCCAGGTGGTCAAGCCTTTGGCTTTGGGGTTGGCGAAGACACAGTCCTGTTTTTTTTGGCGAAGATCGGGTTGCTTGTCATTCCAGTACCTGCAACAGAGCTGAATGAGGTTTCAGCCTGAATACAGTCACACAGCCCAGACAAAGAGCTAAGACTCAAACTGGAACACAGCTTCAGACTCCGAGATCCACTGCTCTCTGTCACCCCCAAGAACCAGCACGCATAAGACGAAGAAGAAGAAGAAATGCTTACAATTATATAGCGCTTTTCTGGACACTCCACTCAAAGCGCTTCACAGGTAATGGGGAATCCCAATACTACCACCAATGTGCAGCACATAAGCACACTTCAGTGTTTAGATTTGGCTGGGTATGTCTAAAGCTCTCTGAATGGATCCTGCATCTCTCTTTCTCAGTCTACCTCAATGTGTGAGACTGTTGCGTTTTTTAGTAACATATCCTGTGACAGCCGAAATCTCAATCTTCCTGGCTCTGTTTCTTAGAGGCACAGTCTCTCCCTCCTACTGACCCTCTCCCCATTACACAGAGGTCACCACTTAGTAGTGTAGGTATAGTCAATCCACTAGGAGCCCTGTTTACTCCACCCCACTAAGACAAAAAAAAACATACTGTACTTTTCTCACGTTTCATTCAAAGAACGATTATCCACCCAGCGCCAGACGCCTTCTTCAGCCATATCAGTAAGGCCGATCCAGTAGGATTTTCCATTAGTTTGGTTTGTAATGAATTCCTAAACACAAGACAGCAGGTTACTTTCAAGCCTTAAAAAGGAAACTGGGACTGGAAAATGCTGTAATCCTCAGTGAATTTTGAAAACAAAAAAGGCTCCAGGGATAATTTGAAGTTATCCGGGTTGAAAGCTCTGCGTCTTGTCTTGAAGAAAAGAGTTGCACTGACAGGTGATCTAACGAGTTCGTAGGTTGGAGGTATGGAGAACAGCCTGCCAATTAATTTAATCAGCAGATGATGTAATTGTGAAAATAAGGAAATGAGAGGTATATTCTAACAAAATTGGGAAAAAAAAGTGTTTTTTTTTTAATTCGCATAAGACTACTGCATTGTCTGTCCCCACATGGTAATTAAGTGGCAATATCAATTTAGTATTGGTATTGGGCTCATTAACAAGTTGTTCCGTTTAGACTTAAGAGAAACTTCAAAAACCTCTTTTGCTCGTTTTCATTCCAGCCGAGCTTAATTACCTAATTGGAGCGTTAATTGAACTAACGAGTTGCTTGATTGGAAAAGTGACAAGTTTTGTTTTTTTTTTTACTTAAAGGTCTGGGATTGTATTTTGCCTTTGAAATGTGCTGGCCAGATGGATAGTTAAAGGCAACCGCCTGCATGTTTAAGAGCTGGGAACAGTTCAAAATAAATGTCAAATGAAATGAATCAAATGTGCAGTGGTGTAAAGGAAACCTGGAATGAAACAAAAACCAGCAGCACTAGGATTGGGATTCCTATCAAAATAGGAATTTTCTTTTCTTAACAAATCCAGATCTGAATTCCTAAAACAATGAAAACTCTTTGCAGTCCAGAAACAGCAAAGTGAGGATATAAATAATCATACTCCATGCAGTGTTTCGATTTCTGTTCTTTTGTTGTTTTTGGCACTCAGGTTTCCTTTGCATCATACAGAGAAATAAGGGAGAGGGGGTGGGGGTCTATTCTGGGACTTCAGATTGCATAAGAGAAAACATACCTCAAAGACAAGCAGACATCCTCTCGGTGGAAATGAATGAAATCAAAACTGAATGGCACATTCTTTTGTTGGAGGAATTTGTCCCCTGCTTCCCCTTGAAAGGCAGTCAGGGGTCCGTCTCAGAAGTTAAAAGACGTTTTTATTTAATGCGCATGGGAGCAAAGCACTCAGAGATGTCCTGTGTATTTTTCTCAAGATAATTAAACTACAATAGTCCATAAATATATTCCTGATCTCTATCACACTTCCCTGTGCATACAGTGTTCCAAAATCATACACATCCTCCCACCTCCCTATTTGCTAAAGATCACTTCTTTTAACACAATTGGTTACTTACTGTAGGTCTGCAGCACGCATTCCTATATAACACAGTATCGAATTACATACTGTAGTAGCCCTTGTCTTCTGCATTCTTCCATTCCAGTTCAAACTAGTTCTGTCCACCTTATAAAATATTGCATCTTCTGCTGGAAAATTGTGTACAAAGTTCACAGAGACCCTCTTAACACTTTTAAACTTGGAAGTATATGGTTTCCACCTTATACCCAGCTATATTTTCAGGGAGCAGAGAACAGTAAAGAGAAATAGAGTGTGGGACAATGGGATGTTCCACCAAACACAGGAATCCAAACAAGGGGAATACAGTGCTGTCAGATGTGAGATCCAAGTCTCCTACCTGTTCATTTCTGCTGTTTATAATCACCAGGTCAGCTCCCTGCTTCCTGCAGGCAGTGCGACTGTCAGTCCAGTTCAGTTTATCAGCAGAGAAGTAGTAACACTTGGAGTCGAAGAGCTTCCAGCGCCGAGGACAGGGTTTGCAGACTCTGTCTGTAACAGACGACAGCAGCTCACATCAGTACCTCTCCATCTCTGTCTAAGTCAGCTCAATGCATTGAAGGAATGTCATCTCCACAAACAGATGTGATGGAGATGATGCAGAGCTCGGCAGCTAATATTTATGGACCTAAGAAAGGTTAGAAATAATGGGCGGACATTCGACCTTTCTTACACTTATAATTGTTAGGGATTTAATGAAGGACCTTGATTTCACGTGTTTTTTTCTGGAAAATGAAAAGGGTACCTGTTCCCACAAAGGCACTGGGTATTTTTCCTGACAATCAGAACCTTTTTTTATTAAAGGTTGAGTTTAAGAGCTTAAGAACAGTTAATAATGAAAAGAGGACATGCTTCAGCATGTCCAGCCCATCTCCTAGTTAGTAATTGATTGACCCCAGGATTTCATCCAGCTGTTTCTTGAAAGAAACCAGGGTACCTGCTTCAGCAGCATTGCTGAAAGAGATTCATGGTCATTACCCTGGGCTATGCCATTCTGCAATTTGATCTTTTCCTTGCAATCTCTGAAGGACAGAAATGACACCTCAACACATGCACAGAAATCTTCTGCACAAATATCTTCTGCACAAGCATCTGCATCAAGCTTCCCATCTTATGTTAAAGTGTATTATTTTTTCTGCTACAGTATATGCACCAGCAAACATTTACTTCTTCTGCAAGGGCACTCCAGGAATTAACTGCAATGACAGGAAGGTGTCCACTAGAGGTCGCCATGCAGCTGGCCTCCGGCAATAAATCTCAATTTACCATAGACCTCATCTGGTGCGTATATATATTGATGGAAAATTAAACGCAGTACATCCTCCTCCACACTCTGGCCCTCCCGTCTGTGTGGAACAGGCTGAAGAGGGACTCATCCGTGAAGAGGACCTGATGCCACTGCTGACGGGTCCATCGCAGCCTCTGTCTGGCCCCAGCCAGTCAGGTGTGACATCTAGGAGGTGTGAGCAGAGGGCCTCTGACAGGCCGCCTTGCTCTAAGGCTCTAAGGCCAGCAGCATGGAGTCTCACCGTCCTGTCACTGATGTGGGCATTGTGTCTGCCGGCAGTTTCAGCAGCAGTTCGGGTGGCAGATCTGAAACGATCTCTCAGATGGACCAGTCTGATGTGTCGGTCCTGCTCCGGTGTGGTCACTCGAGGGCCACTGAAACTTGGACGATCATCTGTCCTGCCGGTCTGCTGAAACCTTCTCTGCAGTCGGGACACAGTGGAATGACTTACTCCATAGTGTCTGGCAACACTGGCACATGACATGCCTGCCTGCAGCATGCCAATGGCCTTCTCCCTTGCTTCTGAGGCATTATGGAATGCACAGAAAACTGACTAAGTGTGGCCTTTTTCTTGCAGTAACCTAAGCTTCGAATTAAGGCCTTTTTAAAGGTGACCTGATCAGGCATTGTTCCACCTGGACCTCGTTGGGTAAAAGTGCACCTAACGAGCTTTTGTGTGATTGGCAAGTTGCAATGCCTCCCTGCACAAGGTGTATGGCTGGTCAGAGGGCTTAAAACAAATCGACACCTTTTTGTGAAAGTACATAAGCTATAACTATAGTATTCTCATTCTAGAAAATGTGGCGTTTCTTTTTTCCATCAGTATACTGAATATATTCCAATATACTGTATCTGGTGCATATGAGGACAACACAACTGTTTATGGAATGCATCTGGTGTGCAGGGTCAGCAGGTTAGCCTCACAGCACTGGGACCCCGGGTGGAATTCTGGACCCGAGGTGCTGTCTGTGTGGAGTTTGCATGTTCTTCCCGTGTTCATGTGAGTTTAATCTGGGTGCTAGTGGTGTGAGTGGGACTAGTG